GCCAGCAAGGAATTGGCCGTTTTCATGTAGGCTGACATACGGTCGTACTTCCCCTTTAGCTGACTGATTACCAATTTTGAATCACAAAAACACAAGCAGACGCCGAACGCCGAGAAGGTGCGCATTTCGCAGACCGGCTAGAACGGCTTCGTATTCGGCTTCGTTATTTGATGCTTCGAAGCCAAGCTTGACGACCTGCTCAATTACTGCGCCGTCTGGAGACATGATTACAACTCCGGCGCCTCTGCCCCTTTGGTTAGATGATCCATCACAGTATAATTGCCAAATATCCCCGACATAAATTCTCCAGTTCGGCTTTGGTCGAACTTCAGCCTTTGGTCGAACTTCGTCAGGTTTGAGGTTAGCAAGCTTGCCGGTGAATTCAGCAACAAAGTCGGCCAACACCTGCCCCTTCATTGCAGTTTTAGGTAAAAATTGAATGTCGTATTGGCCGAGTTCAAGAGCCCATTTTGAAACACGTCCTGATGCTTCTGCACTCCGTAGTACTGATCGGAGGGGAGAATCTGTTAGCACCCCAATGCTATGTCCTTGGAAGTAATGCATCAGTTTTCTTGCCTCCATGACTAGGGCTAAGATGAGTTTTTCCAACGGAAGGTAGCGTGTTTTGGCGTCAACCATTGCCTTGCTCACATAATACACTGGCCGTTGCTCCCCCTCCTCCTCTTTTAGCAGTACGGCGCTGACGGCCCTATTGAAAACTGCCAGATATAGAATGAGCGGGTCACCAGCGGCGGGTGTTGTCAAGAGAGGTACTAAGCGGAGATAGGTCTTGAGTCCGTTGAAAGCTGTTTCGCATTCGGCGGACCATTCAAAAGCCTTACCCTGTCGTAGTGTCTGAAAGAATTGTCGGCAGCGATCTGTAGACCGGCTGATGAACTTGTTGAGTGCAGCGGTCATTCCCATCAACTTTTGTACTTCTTTGACTAAACGGGGGGAGCCGAGTTCCAAGATTGTTGTGACTTGCCTCGGGTTGGCTTCGATTCCTCGGTGATTGACGATGTAACCCAGGAATTTGCCAAAGTCGATTCCGAGCGCACACTTGGAAGCGTTCAGTTTCATTCTGCATTTGCGTAAGATGCTGAATGTCTTTTCTAGATCGGCTATATGATTCTGTTCTTCTTTGGACTTGACCACCATATCGTTGATGTATACTTCCATAATGTGGCGGAGTTGCTCTTTGAACATGGCGGTGACCAGTCTTTGGTAGGTTGCCCCTGTATTCTTCAGCCCAAAAGGCATAACTTTGTAGTAGTAGATTCCTCTTGGGGTGAGGAATGCAGTTTTTTCCTGGTTATCTGGATGCATGGTGATTTGATGGTAGCCTCTGTAGGCATCAAGGAAGCTCATGCGTTGATGGCGTGCCGTCGCATTGATAAGCTGGTCGATTCTGGTTTGAGGAAAACAGTTTTTGGGGCAAGCTTTGTTCAGATCTGTGAAATCGACGCACTCTTGCCAAGTCCCATTTTTCTTCTTCACCACCACTGTATTGGAGAGCCACGTAGGATAAGTGACTTCTCCAATTGCCCCGGCGTCAAGCAGTCTGTTTACCTCCTCAACAACGGCGGCAGTGTGCTCCGCGGTTGACCGCCGGCCTTTCTGAATGATCGGCTTACATTTGGGATCGACATTCAGATGGTGCTGTGTAACTGACGGGTCTATTCCCGGCATTTCGTACGGAGTCCACGAAAGACGTCAAGGTTGTTGAGCAAGAAAGAGATCATCTGCTGCCTGTCGGCCTGATTCAGAGAGGCGGTGATCATGAAGAACTTGTCTGGGCTTCCATTGATGTCAACTCGATCTAAACCTTCCGTGACCTTCTCATTTAGGTGCCGCCCAACATTCGGCACCTCAATGGAGTTTACTTGCAGTTCCTTTGGTGTTTTGGCGGTAAGGAGATAACATGCTTGTGCCGATTTCTGGGAGCCGCGAATTTGCTCAATGCCGTGTTCTGTTGGGAAACGTAACAGTTGATGATAGGTGCATGGGATGACCTACAAGGTATGCAACCACAATCGCCACATGATGAGATTGTACGGCGATGGCAGCGGACCAAGAATTCCACATCCACCGTTCTGGAACCTGCTCGAACGGGTAAGCTAATCTTTCCCAATGGGTACTCTGGATTGGCATTGAAGTCGAATAGTGGATAAGGAGCCGGAGTCAGGTCTGACTCGTTGAATCTGAGTTTGATGAAGGTTTTGTAATACATAACCTCCAAAGTACTGCCCTGGTCAATAAGAACGCGTTCGACGGTGAAGCGGTTTACACGTAGCTCAACAACCAATGGATCGATGTGAGGGAGTGTTAAGCCGATCAAATCAGAGTCGTCAAAGGTGATACTTGGCGTTTCTCGGAGCCGCTTTGCGAGCGTGAGTTACTGTTGGGGGCCTGGATGTGATTGGATCGCATGCACGGCTGGGGCTGCTGACAGGCTGTATATCATGTGGACGGTGTCAAGCGAAAATGCATCCTTCGGAAAGGCAGGTGTTTTGATCGCTCCCCTCCGGACGCATTGTTGGAGACGTGTGTCCTTTGCCAACTCCTCAAGATGATCTGTTGAAGCATAGCGGCCGTCAGTTTCGTGCTGTCGGGCTCGAGATCGTCGATCATCTGCCATCGGGGGTCACTAAGAAACTTGGCGCACTAGTTGTTTGGATTTTGCTATTTCCGAGGCCAGATCGTGACGAAGGCGTTCGTTCTCAGCGATGATGTTGTCCAACCTCTGTTTGGTTTGCCTAGCTTGTACCATGGTTGCTTGTATTGTCTTTTGCGTTGGGTATGAAGATGAGCAGAGGTCCAAGGCAAGTCTTGCTGCGATGGTTTTTTGTCCAAGCAAGTTTGCAGGAGTGAGGTCATCTTGCTGTGTGGTCTCGTCAGTGGCTATCGGAGGATCTTCAGTCACGCCTGCCATGGATGTATTTGAGTATTCTCACAGACGGCGCCAATTGTGGAGAAGTGGTTTGAAAATACTCTTCAGATCTTGGGAGACGCTAATGATCTTCAGCTAGTCACTTGAAAAGACACAAACACTCCGGTCGGGGGTGCCGGAATTAGCACTCCGACGGACAAATCAGTTCTTGTACTCAAAATAGCTTGTCTTCTAAGTTAATCAAAAAGTGATTGTTACATACCTTTCTAAATCTGTGATTCTTATATTTATACTTGCTTTTAGGGCCTCGGGGACTGAGCCTACTTTTATTCCATTCCCCATTTATTTATTCAGAACTACTGATCTCCGGCTATTCGGCCTTCCTAACATATTCGGCATCCTAGTCACGCAATATGAAACCGAATAATATCTGATTTCTGAGGTACGCATCTGCTGACTCTTCTATTTATTCGATTCCCACAAAGTTAATTGCAAAGAATTTTAGTTACTTGTCCCTAGCGATTATATCACCATAATACACAACATCTACACAAATTATTTGAATTGTATAGTTCCATAATGCGCATATCTTGGCCAAGGTTCTAGAACCGTCAAACAAGTCTTTCTTTTGAGCTCGCCCCGCACACTACTCTTTCTTAAATATTTTGTTTTTGTATTTTTTAAAACTAATTTTGAGTTTTTAAACTATATTTTTTATATTTAGTGTATTAAGATTTTTTTATTTTTATGTTTTTAACTTTTTAAACTCACTTAATCTAAATATTAGGGGTGCTTGTGAGTAGCCTCTCATCCGCCATCTATCCGAATTTAGATGAAATGAAAAAAATTAATCTGTATCTGTCCGCTTAGTTAGTGAATGCAAATTGATTAGGTTGTACTTGTTGGCAGATGGATATGCAAATAATTCACCGGTCTAGACCAGGAGCGGGACTATGTGTAATTCAATAGTGTCAATTCACACCACTGAACTTTCAAATTTTGTTTAAATATATATGAAATTTTGTTTAATAGTTTTGCATTTTAACAAAATGACCCCAATGTTTGGAGCTATTCATTATTTAGTGGTGTCAATTTTAACAAAATGACCCCAGTGAATCTAGATAAATATCACATATATCACATATATTTGGAGCTATTCATTGTATAATGGTGTCAATTTTAGCTCAGTATTCGTTTATTCATTTGCTCCATTAACGCTTCATTCTCTAACAACCATTGTTACATTCCTTCATTTGTTCTCTCTCTCTCTCTCTCTCTCTCTGTGAATGACCCCACTGAGGGAAATTCCTGACTACGCCACTAGTCTAGACTTTTTATTGTTTTAAGGTTTGTTTTTGAAAATTATTTTAGGGTAATTTGTTTTATTATTTTGAGCCTTATTTGAGTACAATTTTTTTTATTCTTTATTTTTTGTTATAAAAATAAAGCTCTAGTTTTCATATTTCATAAATTGCTAATATTATGACTAAATAAAATATTTTTTTAAAATACAAAGCATAAAAATATAATATTATTTTCTTAGGGATTGGCATATCAGATTGGGTTGGGTGATCTTCCATCTGCTATCCGTCCGAACATAGGGGAATTTGAAAAATCTCTACCCGCATCCGTTTGCCTATACTGTCGAAATTGCCTAAAATCAAGTGGATTGAATCGGGTTGGTCAATTTTGACAAATTTGTTGGCTCCGTGAACACCCCTACTAAATATATTTACTTAAAAAATATAAAATTTATAAAAAAAAAAAAAACTTCAAAAAATTTACTAAACACAAAAAATATATATACATAAATTTAGTATATTTTCGTAATTTTTGTGTGTTTATCAAATTTTTTTTTAAAAAAATCATAAATATTTTACTTTTTAAATACATAAATAACAAATACAAAACATAAAAAAAAATTAAAAATTATTTTAAAATACTCAAAATCAAACTAATTGCGTGAGATCAATTACGCAGTGGCAACCAATAGCAATGGCCGTGACCTTTTTTCTCAAAACAACCACTACTGGCACTTTCTTACTCCCCAAGCAAATGTCTCATTTTAAACCGCCCTAATCCTATATATACACATCATCAACAAACCGTACTCAGTACAACACACTCATCACTTTTCTCACAAATAAGAAGCTTTTCTACATTCACATTGTCAAACACACACAACCCAACAACTTTCCCATCTTATTATTATTATGACCATGGCAATTCTAAAAAGAAGCAGAGAAGATACAGAGGTGGAAGCACTAGCCATGGCCAACTGCTTGATGCTCCTCTCCCGTGTCGGTGAGACTGCATCAACCAGTCGCGGTGACCGTGTTTTCACCTGCAAGACATGTAAAAGAGAGTTTTCATCATTCCAAGCGCTAGGAGGCCACAGGGCTAGCCACAAGAAGCTTAGATTAATGGGAGGAGGAGACCTTCATGTTCAGACCCCCAGCTCGCCCATAAAGGCGAGGACTCACGAGTGCTCCATATGTGGGCTAGAGTTCGCCCTCGGGCAAGCGCTCGGGGGTCATATGAGGAGACACCGTCCTGCTGCCACCAGTGAAGTAGGGTTGTCCTCCGGTGCCAGTAGTATAAGCAGCAAGAGCAAGTCGTCGACAGAGGAGGCGGTGGTGCCGGTTATGAAGAAGTTGAGTAGTAGCAACATCTGCAGCAATAGAGTTTTGAGATTGGATTTGAACTTGACTCCATATGAGAACCACATGAAGATCAAGAAGTTGCCCCCTTGGTTACCTGCTTGATTTAAATTTTTGATTGACTTGCCACCAAAGTTTTAAATATTGACTGATATGTTTCTCGATTTAAAGTTTCAGTTAATTCGGTATTAAGATTTTAAATATTGATTGATACTATCCGATATAGATTGTAGTTGGATTGTAATAGTGCTATTTGAATTTATGTTTTTGTTTTGAAATTTGGTTTTACATTTTAAGATAAATTACACATCAGTGACACCTTTCAAAAATAATTACAGGTTCATGAAAAATTTTAATATTTTAATTATTAAAATTCATAAATTTTATCATTGATTTTAAAATTTTTTGTCAAATTCACACTAAATTATTATTTCTCCTAGATTTTACGGGGTCTAATTAACATTATAGAATTATTGGCTATATTAGGCACCAGATTTTTTTGTTAATTGCAAGGGCAACACATTTATTTCAGAAAATACTAGAAGATTGGTCGATTGTATGAAAGATATTGAAATCTTACTGCACATTATAAATATAATGTAGAGATTTCTTTGTTCATTGGCAATTGATTTTGGATTAATTGAAATTAGACGTCTTCACTATTTTAACATGTTATTGGATGTAACCTCTGATCTGATTAGGTCTTACGTTTTTTTCATCTCATATCTATTTCTGTCTTCATTCACTTATTTATCACCTTCACATGCATGCTAATTATTATGTAAAAAATTATTTGTATAATATTATGTAAAAAAATTATTTGATTGAGCTTTAAGAACTTATTTTTTAAAATAATTTGAAAAACTAGTTTATCACAAAAAAAAAAAAAAACAAGTTCAGCTTGCCTGGTTTCATTTTTCTAAAAACACTTTTCAGAAAATTCTACTTTCTTATTTTCCATATTTTTTTGTTTTTACTGATTTTTTTTTAATATTTTAAACATTTTTTTAATTTTTTAGACACACCTAACATAAATACACCTAAAAAGTAAAAAAATTGTAAAAAAAATCTTTTAAAAATTCTCTAAATACCAAAAATAAAAAATAAAAAAAAATACAAGAATTCAGAACTTTTTTATATTTTTATGTATTTATTAATTTTTTAAAATATTTTTTCACAATTTTTTTACTTTTTAGATATATCTAAGTAAGGTGCATCTAAAAAAGTAAAAGAAAATGTTTAAAATTTTAAAAATATTCACTAAAAACAAAAAAACATGAAAATCAAAAAAATCAGTTTTCAAAAAACTTAATCCAAAAAACTCAAACCAAACACACTAAATGGATTTTATCTATATTTTTTTGCATAAATATTTTTTGAAATTTAGTTTTCAATTTTTCAAAAAAAAATTCAAAAAAAAAAATTTTCCTCAAAATTCAACCAAACAGAACAATTGCAAATATAATGCAAACCAATATCAGGAAAACAAATTAGTACTACACTGACTACACTATAAAAATACACTGTCCTCATAAAAGATATACAAATTTTCGAGTAATATTAAGGATCTCAAATATTTTATTAAATATTCCACATGAATTCCACACCTATGTGAAATTTTTAATAAATATTTAGATCCCTAATGTTTTTCTAAATTTTTTCCTACACACCTTTGCACCTTCAATCATCAGTCTTATCAATCTTCTTCTCTGTGGGATTAGGTTGTTGCTCCGGCTTCAAATCATGGACCTGTATAAAAAAAAAAACGAGAACTTATTGGTTGGTCCGGGCTCTATATGTATCGTAATTGGTAGTGGAGATCAAATTCACGATTTTATATTAATTATTAGAAAACATGAAGGGGTATGGACGTTTGTGATAGGCATGGCCATGCGATATCACAGGACCAACCGATAATTTTTCATCAAAAATAGTGTTATATTGTAAAACACAAACTAAAAATTTATACCCAAAAAAAAAGGAAAAATCACATTACAGTGACTTTTTCAAAAATAATTACAGTTTTAAGAAAAAATTTATACTAAATTGTAATTTTCCTAGAAAAAAGCACAAACTAAAATATTTCGCTCAATTTTTAGTATTGAAAAAAATCTTCATGTGTTGTGTGACATAGGGTTGGTTTATCTCAATTGTGCTAAGAAATTCTATATATAACACTTCAAAAAAAAATTCAAAAATTCAAAAAAAAAAAATTTAAGTGTAACACAAATATCATCCCTAATAGCACTATTATATTTAATATTTATTTACTGAGACAAGTGTATGCGTTAAGTAAGTGAAACACACCTCATGTGCAAACAATGATCCGAGTTCTAACTTCATATACTGCATCCGATCACCATTGTTGCAACCACCATGCTCGTTCCCTATTTTGGGAGCATCGGGCTTCGAAATCCACGGTGTAAGAAAGGAGTTATTACCGGTTTCCAAGAACGATATGAATCGAGAAGGGTCCGTGGCCTGTGCATCAACTGAATTGCGCAATTGCATCGACCGTTGTTGGTTTTGTTCTCGCCGTAGTTCAAAGTCTCGTCTTCGGAGCAAACTCAAGACATCGGTGTCGAGTGACGGGTATAAATTACTATAAAGATAATTGCGTGTGTTCGAGTTGTTTTGATTTGCGACATCGGAATTGGGTGGCTGGTGTAAGTGACTATAAAAATTATTGTACAAGTTTAAATTGTTTTGGTTCATGTCAGAATTATCTCGATTCATGATGATTCACAAATCTTCTAGGTGTTTTGAGTGTTTAAATATTAACACTACTAACTTTTTGATTAGTGTGTTGTTTATATATAGCTTGTAATTGTGAGCAATTTTAGTAGAAATCAATTAGACTATGAATACCAAGTATGAAGTTTTATTTCAGTTAGAATTGTGGTTTGTATTGTGCCTTTTCGGATTAGGTTTAATTCTAACACGATTAGACTTCCTTTTTTAATTACTATTTTTTTAGTGTACGGATTGATGTAGGCTTTGGGACAAACTCAAAATAGCAGAAATAATCTAATTCAAAAAAATTATTACATGGCTCGACCAGTAATATTTTATACTATTCTCTTTTTTTTCTTTTTCTTTTTTTTTCTTTTTTTTTTTTTTTTTGGATGATGTGACTTAAATAAGATAGTGACTTTTTGACTTTTTGGCTTATTTAGTATATGCCAAACTAGCCCTAAGTCAGCATGGTTGGTTAAAAGTGATTAAAATGTAATTAACATTTATTAACGCTTACTGATGCATCTGTCTAAAAGATTAAAGTTTCAAACACGAAGGCTTGTGCATGTCAACTAGTTATACAAGAATAAATATTAAATAAAATATGATACTGTGGACAGAACGGTCTTTTTGTTTCTCTTACCCTTGTTGATTAGTTTACACTCTCAGAGGTTGAATAAGCTGGATGATGTCTTATATTTTAGATTTACTTGTGTAGTTGGTTGCCCGTATCTGATTGTATACTTATGGTAGTTGATTGTGATTTTGTGTTTCCAAAAACTGGTGGTTAGGATGTTTACTACCATCCAAACTTTTGTATGGATAATTTGTTAATTATTTAAATTTTATCAAAAGTAATAAATTTTAATATCCAAAATCCACAAAAAGCATTAAAGAAGAGGGGGGAAAATTAGTTGGCTTGTCTTGGCATGTCCTTGGTAGGTCCCCTGAAAATAAATTAATTAAATAAAGGGACACAAACATGTCCCCGCCTTGCTTGAAATACTGCTACAACACCTATTTTAGAGTGTCAGTGCTTCATGGGTTTTTGTTTCCAAAAATGGCAGCAGTTCATAGAATGTCCAAAATTTGTAGAATTAAAAAGGGCGTGTTCACTTGTTTTCTAAACAAGTTTTGTTTGGGGTGCAGATGGACCTATGACCCGGACCCGTTCAAGCTTGTTCATGGTTTATAGGACTTGATCCAATTGAATAAATTGGTCAAACCCAATTGCAATATGATCCAGACTAGAGATTATTGCGTCCTGTCTCACAAAGGACCATTTGAAAAGTTAATTAAAATTAACTTTTAATTTTTAATTTATTTTGGGTCTCAGTTGTTTGCTTCTAGTTTTCATAAAATAGTTTTTAGAATTTTTTTATTTTTATTTTTCATATTTTAATGTTTTCAATGAATTTTTTTAATGTTTTAAGCAAATTTTTTTTAAAAAATTTTTAGATGCACCTAACATAAACACACTTAAAAAAATATAATATTTGTGCATTTTTTTTTTCAAAATACACTAAATACCACCTTTCAGCGCCCACCCCAAAATTTAGTACATTTTCGTATTTTTGTGTATTTATTAATTTTTTTAAATATTTTTTCACAAATATTTTACTATTTAGATATATCTAAGTAAAGTGCATCTAAAAAAGTAAAAAATACTGTAAAATTTAAACAATATTCACTAAAAACAAAAAAAAAATACGAAAAATAAAAAATTCAATTTTCAAAAAACTAAATTCAAAAAACTGAAACCAAACACACTAATTATAATTTTATAAAAGACAAATTAAATATAAACTTCATATATAAGAGAAATAGTGTAAATATGAAAAACCAAGGGGCACACTCCACCGCATATATAGATATGTATTGGGCTTATTTGGTATATTGTTTTATAAACTAACAAAAGTTAATAATCATAAAGTAAAAACTAAAAAACACCACTCTACTTCCGGATAGTTTTTTTCCCAATTTATAATTAGCTTTTTTTCAATTTATTTTTACCTCATAAATTGTAAAAACTGTATCAAAAGTTTGATAAAAGCTTAAAATATATATATATTTTTTTTTAAGTAAAAAGAAAACTATAAACAACTTATCTTAAGTCGACTAATCAACCCCAGTCTGGCCCATTAAAGAAATAAGAAACCCAACCTAACCTAACCTAACCTAACAAAAAAGCCCAAAACAAGAGGTCAAACACAATCCAGCCTAGCCCACTTATGCAGCCCATTGAATAGAAATGCATTTGGATAGGACTGGGATGGAATGAATACCAATCCATTGTTTACCATCCTATAAAAATTAGTACCAAACCAAACCATTAAAATTATGGAATCAATCCGAATCAAATTATTTAAACACGGTTCGACGGTTTGGAATCATAGTTGCACATAATCTGTTTATAAAAAATATCATATAACATTTTCAAAAAAATTCAACCTATTATAAATTTTAAAAATAATAATAACATGTTGATTAAACAAACAATTCTCATAATATGGTTTAAGTTATACGATCCGATTTGGTTCAAATCCGGAACCGTGAATCTAAATTCATAACCAATTTGCAAAGACTAGTTCTCTAATTTTTCAAACCAAAATCAAATTACGAATTAAAAAAAATCAAACCAAATTGACTGTGGACCGATTCAATTTGCGAATTTTTCAACTTCCATACTCTGCCCATGCATTTTGACATTAAACCACCTATCTTTGAACAAATCAAATTGTTATACCCTTACAATATTGTTAGAAAAATTATGCAATGATAAACAATAAAATAAAGATGATTAATAAATTTTTAAAAATTCTAAACCAGATATTAAATTAAAATTCAACATAAAAAAATATGAAAATATAAAAAATATAAATTTGAAAAGGTTTATGTGTTATTTATGGCCACCAGACAAGAATAAATGAGTCACAATTGAACCTTATCCGAACAAACAATAAGCTATGGACAAGATAGTTGGCCCAATGATTCATATAGGCGCCGTTTGGGAAGGGGTGGGTGAGGCTAGGGTTGAGTAAGTAATCCGTGAAATTCATAATTCGATCCAGTCTAGTTCAATCCGATAGGTTTGGATTGATTTTTTCAATCCGCGGTTCGGTTCCGGATTGAAGAATTAAAAATTCGTAGTCTACGGATTGGTTCCGGATTGAACCCCACGGTTCCAGATTGGAACCGATCCGGACCGTATACAAATAGTCTATATTTTTATTATACATCCTCCCCCATAATATCTTCTCTTAATTCTATATAAAATCTAAACTCAAACCTAAAACCGTATAATATCTTGTTTTATTACTTTTGTTTGTTGGTTTTAGTTTTAATTTGTAATGGTTTAAATACTTATAGTGAAACCAGTTTTCTTATGGTTGTTTAAATTTTAGAACAGTATGTCGCTATTATAGAAAAATATGTTACTATTATAGAAAAATATGTTGCTATTATGGAACTAATTTAGCGCTATGTTTATATTTTTATAAAATTAAAGTGTTATATATATTTTTGATATTTAATTATGTGAATCCGTGGTTCTAAACCGATCCAATCCGTATTTAAATGGATTGGTTCGGATTGGTTCCATAATTTAAACGGATTGGATTGGTTCTAATTTTTTAGGAACCGTAAATAACGGATTGGTCCTGATTTTTTCCTAATCCGGTTCAATCCGGACCATGCTCACCCCTAGGTGAGGCTAATATAGCCTAAAATGAGAAATAAGCAAAAAAGCGGCACTATTCACAGTTTTTCAAAAAAAAAAAAAGGCTTTGCGCTGCCTACACTGTCACAGCCAGAAATTGGTACATCAACGGCAAAATTACCATTTTGCCCCTTTATATCAGTTTAAAAAATAAAAAGTTGGGGATAAATTTATCATTTTAAATTTAAATATCATTTCAACACACTTTCCAATACAAGAACTCAACTAAAAATTCATCTCATCTTCCTAAATACAAAACTAAAATAACTTATTAAAATAATCAAAAAGTCAAATAACTTACTAAAATAACCACCTTCCAAACGAGACTATAATTGTTCTTTGGAACAGTGAAGGCAAAGATTTGGATTGGAATCGATAGAGTGAGTACAATCTTTTAATTTAATTTTACTAACCTATTATTTTATCACATGGTGTAAAAAATAAATAAATAAATAGACCTAGAAACAAGGGAAACCTACAAAAACAAAAAAAAAGTGAATGGGTTGTTTTGAGAATTAAATTAAAACTTTTTGATTTTTTTTTTTAAATAAAAAACGTGTAAAAAAAATAAAAAGATGATTATGACCCCAAAAAAAATTTAAAAGTCAAAATAGTAAAAAAAAATTTAAAAGTCAAAATACTAACTTTTAATCTCTTGTCAAAAGAGACCAATATATTACCAAATCACTCTTTATATGTATCTATTATCCTAAGCTTACCTAATATCAAAGTGTTTTGAGAACGCATTAAAAAAGTTAAAAGTTAGTTTTGAATCTATTTTAAGTTATATCACTTCTCATATAAAATAATAAAAAAAGTCAAAAAAATTAAAAAATTAACTTTTACAAGTCCGTTTGGGAAAGGCTTTTTCTAGGTTTTTTTTGACTATTTTAGTCACAAAAGACAAAATAAATTATTTTAGTCACAAAAAATAAAACATCACATCCAACCCATAATCATTACACTCTTCTCTCACAAAAAAAGTCAAAAAAGTTAAAAAGTCAAAAAATTATTCCCAAACCAAACTTTTTAACCCAAGTTAAAATAACTAAAAAAATTAAAAAACCAAAAACCAACCTACTATCCAAACGGAGGCTAACTATCTTTCCAAAATACTCCACCGTCCAAGGTGCACAATATGTATGACCAAATATTTTAGTGTGATCCTCCACCTACCTCAACCTCCCATCCTGTTTTTAGGTTTCAAACAGATTTTGTGTGAAAGATAATGACAATGAAATACCAAAAACTTAATTATTATTTAAGTAAATTATTTTATCATCTTTTAAAATTTTAAACAGATATATAATAAAATTTACAAGTTATCATAATTATATTAATTTTTTTTTAAAAAATTATTTACATAACACTTAATATCATTTTATGAAATAAAAAATTCGTAAACTATATAAATAAAAATAATATTTTTATATCTTATATTAAAATATATATTTTTTGGTTTGATTTAGAAAGTGGGTTAGCTTTTAATTTTTTGACTTATTTAACTTGAACTAAAAAGTCTCGTTTTGATTAGATTTTTTAATTTTTGTAGTAGAAAAAAAAAATAATTTTAATTTTAATATGACATTTTATTTTATTAATTTTTTAATATATTTTATTTTTTTATGACTATTTTAACGTTTTAATCCCGAAAAACCTTTACGCCAAACGGGGCTTTATATTGTTTTTACTCAAATATTTGACTGTGAAAGTGAACCGGCCCAGGTATTGAGAGTTGGCTACATCTGATCACCGCTCATTTGAGATATTTTAAACCTATCACAATTGACAGAGGACATCAAAATCAGCGGCTCACCGCAGCAGATCGCCATGATTGACTCAGTGCGAGACACGTGTACGGATACAACAGACGTAACTGTGACACGTGATCATGTTCAGTTATTCCCTTTCTCGAGCAAAAATCGAGTGCTCCTCAGACATCATATCAAACACACACTCTCTCTCTCTCTCTCTCTCTTCACCAACAAACCCTACCCCCCCTCTCTCCTCGATCGCCGGCCGTTCACCGCCGGTATTCTCGCCGGCGATTGCCGACCGAAACTGCACGTCCGTACGATCTGCCTTCCGTCATCGAAGGTACGGATCATCTCTGAACCTCCAATTTTAGGGTTTTTCGGACATTACTGTTTTTCTCATTCCTCGAGTTTTCAGAATCAACTTGAATCTTTGTTGTGAGTGACTGCTTTTCTTTTCTTTTTTTGTTTTTTTTCCTGAATTTGATGGGAATGATTTCAATTTTGTATACTTTTGCTGGGTTTTAAATTCTAGGGTTTGGTTTTGGAACCAATGAGGGTTTTGCAATTGGCTTGCGTGGGTTGAGCTCGGAGAGCGTGGTCCGTACGCAAAAGGGACAGTCTTTCGAAGAGGTGTTATAGTAGGGAGGGAGACATTGAACTCGAAAGTGCAAGATGGTTTGCTCTCAACTCTTTTATAAAGCTTCTCATATGTCTGTTGAAGTCAATGTTGTGTTGGATATTAGATTTGTATGCTGTGTTTGGTTAAGAGATTTGGAAAGGAAAAGAGAGAAAGATAAGTGAAATATGAATATATTACACCTAATTTCATACAATTTTTTTTCTTTCTCTTTCCCAAATTCTTAAACCAAACACAGCGTAAAGGAAAAGGATAGAAAAATAGGGAGAGTTTGAAAATTTTATTTTTAAAAAAATGACTTTATTTTGTTTGTTTGGGTTAGACAGATGAGAACAAAATTAACGGGTATTTGTTGAAAAAAAGAAGTTATTTTTTACTTTTGTTAACATAGAAGAATATATATGTACAAGTAAATTTAATCTTCCTTTTATTTTATTTTCTCTTGACATCTGCACATTATATGTTCATGGATGCTATTATACATGCATACACACATATATGTTTGTATATGTGTGTATGAATAGCATTTTAATGTTTGGTTACTGGTTAGAGCTTGAATGGAATTTGATGCACAGGAGTCTTACCTTTGATGCATTTGAAGTGTATCCAACTTTGCACTCTAAATTTTTTTAACCTGGTTGATTTATGTTGCATGTTCATTGTAATGTAATGCAGGTCTTGTGATGAAGTCATTCATGGTAGCTTCAATGTAATTATTTTGTTTGTCATGTTGGGTCCTAGATTATTTTCAATTATTCATTAGTGACGATCTTTGTTTTCCCATTTATCTAATTGGGTTTTCTGTGATTATTGTTGCCTTCTCTATGTTCTGCCGATTGACTTATTACACTCATTTGTACATGGCTTTCTAGTTTCTTCAATGGTCTTAAAATGACAAGAGACTTTGTGGATTAAATTTACTGTATAATTATTAGAAATGTGATGCCTCATCTTGTATACCTTGTTTCAACTGCTCTGAATTTGCTATTATAACCGTGACAAGCATGTTAATGTAGTGGCCAATAACTGTATGTATTCAGCTTTTAAAAATTGATTTAAAAGGGAGTTCTTCATTCAAACAAAATGCAACCACTCCACATGGAAGCTCTCAAGGTGGATGTAAGCGCTTCTAATTTTAAAAATCCTTATTGATTTCTGAAGATGCTTTTGGAGAAGCGCTACCCCTTGATGATTTCTTAAGATGTCCCCAGTGCTTCCAATTCCTTTGTTTTGTAAGGAGCAATCTTCAATATTAGAGTTGATCGTTCTAGTTGGAGGAGGTTTCCATGAGCACATCATTAATAATTTGTGTAGGTCATAAGGAGCACAAAGCTTTCATCCTCAACATTTAAGAAGACCCATGAAGCCCCTTCTAACATAAACCCAAGAACCTGTCATCGCTTAACCTTTCATAAGTGGAGTATGTGTGCATTTATATCCACAAATTTCACTTCAGTCTTCAACGAGTTGCCTGTGGTTTTCTATTGTTTGACATACATACTCATACTGTCTTACTTATTTGAGCATCCATTTATGGTTGCTTCTCAAGATGTGTGATCTCACTCTGTTTCTCCCTTTGAATGTAAGTTATCAATTTTAAAGGCTCTCAGTTTATTTGTTGATATTTAGTCAAGTTCTGCAACCAGCTCAATTTCTGTTATTCTAAGTGATTGTCTCTGGCAATCTTTCCAGAACAAGGGATTTTGGATGGCAAAGGGCAGTGGGCATTTAACTGATGGGGATGCAGCTTATGATAACTCGTCAAGAGTTGAACCAAAGCGTTCTTATAAATGGTTTGCTGATGCTACTGAACCAGAGCTATTCCCCAACAAGAAGCAAGCTGTACAAGCTCCAAACAGCAAATTGACCACAGGAATTTTAAATGCAAATCCTTCTCCTTGGGAGAATGATTCCAGTTTGCCGTCAGCCCCAAGCCAATTCATGGAGCGGTTATTTGGTGGTGACACAAACAGACCTTTCAAATTTACTGAGCAAAACATTTCTTCGGTTGGAACAGAAAAAGGTATCAATGTAGAATTTGGAAATGATTCGTCTATGGGCTTATCTATGTCTCATAATCTGGATGACCCAGAAACATGTCTTAGCTATGGTGGAATTAGAAAAGTTAGAGTCAATCAGGTTAAGGACTGTGGCAATGGTTTGGATTCACCAAAGGGACATAATAGTGGCACGTCCATTGTTCAGGCCTATAACCACAACAATGAAACCAGTTTCATATCAATGGGGCAAGGCTATGGTAAGGAGGATGAAGGTATAATCTTAATGGGCCGTAACTACAAAAAAGACACTATCATATCTATAGGCTCTGCCTCTGAAACGGGGAATGACAATAGCATGTCAATTGGGCACACTTATAATAAAGTAGAGGCCAATACAGCATCTTTTGATGGCTTTCATGAAGATCATGTTTTTGACCCAATGGCTGGGCCTTTGAGCAGCTACCCGTTAATATACGATCAACCTTCCATTCAAACATCAGAAACACCCAACGAAAAGGAGTTTGATGGATCCACTGCAAGTGCAGTTGTAAATGTATCTCGGGTTACTAAATCCAGAACTGAGTCTGTGCCTAAGAATAAGTCAGAGTTAAAAGCAACTAGGAAAGAGGCCCCTAACAGTTTCCCTTCAAACGTCAGAAGCTTGATATCAACTGGTATGCTTGATGGAGTGCCTGTGAAGTATGTTTCTTTGTCACGGGAGGTAATATTCTGTTCTTTTGTGTTCATTTCTGATAAATTTGCTGTCTAGTGACTTTAAGTTTTCTCATCTCATGTAAGAAGGAGCACCGTGGGACTATAAAAGGTTGCGGCTATCTTTGTGGATGCCAATCATGCAATTACTCCAAGGTAAACTATCAAAAACATTTTCTTGTTTGTCTCAACCCTTTGGGCGTAACTAATGGATCAAACTGATTGTAAGGTGCTAAATGCTTATGAGTTTGAGCAACATGCTGGTTGCAAAACAAAACACCCAAACAATCACATATACTTTGAAAGTGGGAAGACTATTTATCAGATAGTCCAAGAGTTGAGGAACACCCCAGAGAGTCAGTTGTTCGATGCAATTCAAACTGTAACTGGTTCGCCAATCAATCAAAAGTCCTTCCGCACTTGGAAAGGTGAGAAGTTCTTTGGCTGAAATAATGTTTTTGTTATCTTTTTTCCATTTTGGCATTCGTTAAATTTAAGTACTCTCTCAACTCTCTAATGCTGGTTTAACCTCACTTTTTTCTCTTCCTATTTCCCTGTTTCAGAATCATTTCAAGCAGCAACTCGTGAGCTTCAACGTATATATGGAAAGGAGGAACTGAATCTATAGTAGATTTGTACTATGTTTGTGAGCTTCTTGTCAAATTGTTAGATAAGTAATCCTCCCCCAGTGTGCATAGAAGCAAATTCATGTTTTCGTTAAAAGTATGCTATGTATAATATGCTGTTTGGTATGGGGAATATGTTCCTTTTCATAACCTTATTGTAACAAGTTAATTTAAAATCTGAAGTTTGCCTTTGTGGTTTGTTAAGATGGGTTAAAGCAATGTAGGGGCTCAATATCTTACAGGGTCTCATAAAAAATGGTCAGTTAGTCTGTTTTGCAGCAATTGGGATAACTTTTGAAAGTTGTGATGTCTGCACTGACAGAGGGATCCAAAACCTGTAGGTGCTGTAATGTGACAGAATGATGTGATCACCATAAAAAAAATAAAAAAATGTTATTATTCCAAATTGATAGAATGTGGTGGGGCAAAAAAATGAATTTATTGAACTTAAATGAGCATTTAAAACTTGACACTGTAAAATTGAGAAAAAGAATTTATATAGTCAACTCTACCGACACAAACTTGCATTAAACTTGTAGAAGTCAAAATTTGTTCTTTCACTTGCTAATTGGCATTTGGACAACCTTCATTTTTGAGATCGACAAAAATCTCTGGAAAAAGGGTTTGACAAGATTATAAGAGCGAAGTTTTCCGTGAGATAAGCACGGGAAATGGACCACAAGGAAACAGTTTTACTCTGGGAGGAAGAACAAGAACATCCAAGCACGACTGTTAAACATTAACTGCATCACAAATCTAATTTGCCATGTGAAACAGGCTCCGAACACTAATTGGGCGTCTAACCACATTTTGGCCAGGGTTAAATCAAAATGATTACTTCACTGTAATTTTGAAAAGAGATAAAAAAAACATCATTCGTAGCACTT